TCAAATTATTTTCCTAAATATGACCTATGCCTAAATGATGCATATGTAGTGCCCTACCGACAAAACAAAAAATTTATCCTCATTTTTTTGATCTCTACAACTCTGGTGTAAGTCTACAATGATTAAAAATTCATTTGGTTGTCTTTTCATTGTTCTTAATAAAGTCACTACATTTTGTACATATGATTAATTACACTAATCTACCTGATCGTAACATCTTTCTTCTCCGGGACCCTCCAAAATACAACTCTGGGGATCCTACTATATTTTTTTTTAACTCGATAAAAATCATATGAAGGTCCTTATTTTTTTTCATATACCACTCTATTGGTCTCCAAATTAATTATATATCTTCCTTTATTGATGTCCTAGGTGTAAACTCAAAATGATTCTTAGATACTTGTTTCAAATCTCAGTCTTTGCTTGTTTACTTTCTCCCAAAGTTTCATTGTATGACTAATCAATTTAATACCTCAATGGTTTATGTAACTATTTATGTCTGTCTTAGTCTTATATATAGGCACTAAAATACTCTCCCTCTACGCGTTGAGTATTTTCTTACCCATTATAATCTTATGAAATTTCATTAACCACAATATCCCAAAATCTCCTAGACACTTCCAAACCTCAATAGGTATACCATCATATCCTATAGCGCAATTTATTAATAAAATATTTTAGCCAAAAAAATGATTGTCTGTTTATAGTTAGCCTGCATAAAAATTGGCATCGGTTTAAATCAAAATCAATTTATAAAAATCCAACAGAGTTTATATATTTGACAATCGGTCATCCAACCAATTGACAAGGGTATCCCGTCAAAGCAATATGTCATCCTATACTAACCATTCACCATACATCTGTTACGATGTCAAACCAAAGATCAAGGGTGGCAAATGGAAGCTTAAGAAGTCCTCCCAAACCTGACATCCAACCATCTAGTCATTATTTTCAAGAAACACCACTAAAGAAAACATATTTACACATTTTGGTAGCCAGCCCAATCCGCATCTAAGTAAGCCATAATCGAGGTGGAAGAGTGACACGTAATTGGAAGGCATATATCAATGATGGAATTTAGATAGCAAAGTACACGTTTGACCGCAATCCAGTGATTATTAGTGGGCTTATGCATGTAGGCACACCTTGTTTACGACATAAGAGAGATTGAGTCTGGTTATGGTGGCATATTGAAGTGCGCCGACAACACTTCAATATTCAGTAGCATCAACAAGGGTATCACTGTCATTGAGATGCAATTTTGTGGTTGGTGCAAACGAATTAAAAATAGTTTTAGCACCATCCATGTGGGTGTGTCGAAGGAGGTCGATGGTGTATCGTCGTTGATTGAGCCCCAAGCCATGGGAAGTGTGAAGCACTTCGATCCTCCAAAAAATAATGCAAGTGTCCAAGATCCTTAAGTGAAAATTTAGAGGCAAGCATTGTGATCAAGGTATGAATGGATGCTTGAGAACTGCCTGTGACAATTAAGTCATCCACGTAAACTAATACATACACCGTGGAAGAAGGAATGATCCTAATGACAAGAAAAGGATCAGTGTGTGAAGTGGCAAATCCATGACTAAGTAGAAAGATGCGTAGTCGTCCAAACCAAGCTCAGGGAGTCCATAGAGGGATTTCCATGGGTGACACAAATGATGAGGATGTTGAGAATCAACAAAAGCAGGAGATTGTTTCATGTAAACCTCCTCATTGATAGTGTCATGTCGGAAAGCATTGGTGGCGTCAAGTTGGTGAATAGGCTAAGCATGACTGGTGGCTAAGCTAAGTACAATACAAATGGTCACTGGTTTGATAACCGAGGTATACTGACACCCTCTTATTGAGTAAAACCCTTGGCGATAAGACGGGCTTTATATCGTTCAATGGTAGCATCAGCACAGCGTTTAATCCGAAAAATCCATTTGTAGCCAACAACATTGGCATTTGGTGGAGGTAGTTGAAAAGTCCAAGTACAATTTTGAACTAAGGCATTGATTTCTATGGCCATTGTTGTCTACCAATGGGGATGCCACTAGGCCATGGTATACGAAGTCGGCATACTGTCAAGGTCAAATAGAGAAGTATAGCATTGTGGTAGGGGGTGCTTGGTTGCAATATTAATGATTTTCGAGTGTCAGGTGTCATCCTGAGACCGAGTAACCATTGGATGAGATGGATAGGGGCTGTTGGAGTAATGGTGAATAGTGTTTCCTCTGTCTGTTCGCTGGAGTGCATGTCAGTATGGAGAGGTGCATCAGAGGGGACTGCTGGGGCAGCAATGTCACGTGAAGAAGCTGGAGCGGGGATCACTGTTGGGCACATTGGAGATGGGTCACTTAGCGACAGCCAGTTGATGAGCAATTTTCTTTGCACGAAAGAAAAATTGATGAATAAAGTCCAAACCATTCTTGATGGATTGTAATTCCATGTGAAGTTAGAGACTACAAGCCCATGAATGTGCCACATAAGAGGTTGCAAGGGCTGACCAAATGTCATGAGTAGTGGAGAGTCCAATGACTTGAGCGTTGACATTTTCCATGAGTGAGGAAAGTAGCCAACCGAGTAGCAGTTGGTCTTGGCACTGCCATGCTTGGAAGGTAGGATTCGGAATGCTAGAAGAACTTGGTTGAAGGTGTTCAGGTGGACATGGGATGGACCCATCAACATATCCGAGGACTTGATGACCACAAAGATGTGGCATAAATTGCGAACCCCAAAGAAGGTAGTTTGATTCATCAAGTTTGGTGGTCAGAGTGGCGGTAGTGGCAGAAGCGGAGGGAAAGGCAGGAGGAAGAGAAGTGGTGACCATGGTCTTGGTGGTGGGCGAGGAAGTAGCAGAAGTAGTAGACATGTCCAACAAAAGCTAATTAGTGGCCTTTGTCCAATGATTACTACCCCATGCCAATTCATTAAAACATTAGCCACCCACAGTCGTTAATTAGTGGCCTTCAAACCACAATCACCAACAAAAATAGTCAAAGTTGATTCTAACTTCATCACTATCACTATCCACCGGTGCAAAAACATATGCAAGCACACCAGTTCAACCCAATTGATGAACCCAGATTTTACTAGGTCAAGCTCAATTAATTAAGTAAGCCCAAATTAGCTACAAGGTAGGTTTTACCCCCTTATCTCGTTGGCGGCAATGACATGCGGCTGCCTCGCCCAAAGGCGCCCATGGTTTAGCCAAATTGGGTTATACTTAGGTGAAATATACCCTTGTGCAAAGTTAGCAGAAGTCCTATGCATGGCTGAGGAAGGCAGTCCATGCATGGGCACATTGGGCATGATTAGGCACAATTAGTGGGCTAATTGAAGACCCATGCATGGTTGAGTGATGCAGCTCATGCATGAGCACGTGGGCACAAGAAAGCATGCAAGCAACGTAGTCAGGTGATTTGAATTGTGGGGCAATGCTAACTTGCGAGGACGTTGTGGCATGTGCGCTACAGCAAGCACGAATACAAGACAATCAGATGTTGAGGGCCCATGAGAAAGGCACATGCAAAACATGTGAGGACATTGTGGCATGTGCCCTACAGATGGTGGCAGTTCTGTGCAGTTGCTGGTAGGTGCACAGCATGAGGGAGTCTCTATCATGTGCACATAGCATGCAAGGAAGTTGCAGGCAACTGCAGGTTGGGTCAGCCAATAGTTGCAACTGCCTCGGCCATGACCAACACAATGGAGGGAGTGGCTGAGGGTGTTAGCCATTCTCAGTAGGCTTATGGGCAAATTTGAATTGCTATGCAGTTGCCTAGGTGGTTGGGTTTGTAACCGCCACTCTGAATATTATAAATAGGCATGCTTGCGTATGCAGTGGAACCAAGAGAGTTTGGAACATTTTTGTAAGCAAACCCAAGGCTGAGTTCCCTTATACTTTGTTGAGAAAGAAAGGTTTGGTCAATTGGCCTATAAAGATTTTGTGTTGTGTGTGAGTTTGCTTGTCTATCCCTATTCTGTTCGTGTGTGCATTTCTGTAATCGTTTGAGTGCTTGGCTGAGACTGAGTGTGGATCTCAGTGCCATCATGAGGCAAAAATATGAGTGAGAAATTTGACCCCGTGACAGCAACCCAAGTCCAGCGCATGAACTCGACCCAGTCCAAAGTCCAAAGAATTCAAGAAGATTAGAGCACGTAGGAAGCAATCATCAAGATATCCAATCTCAGAGATCAAGGCAACCTTTAATTGTACTTACCTTTTGTGGCTATTCGAAGAATTAGTACCTTTACCCTCACGTCAGTGCCTCAACTATAACTTTAAACCTATAAAATGTAAGTTCTCTGTATGAGAGTCACCTTTCTACACACCCTATAGATAGCTTTTCTCTCTCCTAACCATTGTATCCCTCCCGGGGCTAACCATTGTTCTCTCTCTCTCTCTCTCTCTCTCTCTCTCTTTCTCTCTCTTTCACCTTACTTAATCAATAAAGGTTCCCCTGGCCACCGTTGTCGTTGTCCAGAGTGGAATAGGTCACCCGAACCAAACCACTATATATCTGCATGTTGACCTGATATTTAAATTATTATCATTGATTATTCTGTTAATTGTCCATTAATTAAAATGTATCACGCATTCGACTGTTGATCTTGCATAAGACCGTTTTGTGTATCATCAGTTTTGCGCCATCTGTAGGAAGCGATTTGATTCTCTCCTTACAGTCTTCCTTCCTCCAATGGAAAGAACAACCACATCCATGATACACCATGCCGAAGATGACCTGCCGCATCATGATGAGGTCCTGTCACCACCAACTAAAAGTAGACACATGCAAATCTACTTTTTCACTAATTTGGGGTTAAAAACTCAAATTTTGTGATAAAGAAGCATTTTTTGGAGAAATTTGGTGCCCATACCGTCTATGGCAGATTGTATGTAGTAGATCTTGAAAAAATACCCAAATTCAAAAAAACAAAATTTGCCTCAAATGGACAGCCAAGTGCAAAGTTATGGCCATACAAAGTTCTGTCATTTCGTCATGGTTTTCTAATACTCAAACGCTCAATTGATTGCCACAGAGCCTAGTGTCGCCATCACTGATTTTCTCCAGTCGTAGAGCCCCTCTCCCTAGCATTGTCGACCATGCCAAGAACAGTGCCCATCGCATCACCCAGGCAAAAGGTAGAACTTGTCTAGCGTCACCCAGGCTAAGGCAAGCACATGCCTCGACGTTCGTGCCCAGCAATGCCCAACTCCCCTCCACGCCCAGTGCTTGCGTTTGCGCCCAACAACGTCTAACGTTCGGCGGACAACGCCAAGTGCCTGTGCCCAATTGACAACCCCCTGTGCCTAGTGGACAGCACCCAACAGACAACACCCAGTGCTTGTACCCCAACAGACAACATCCAGTGCCTGCAATGAACAATGCCTAACGTCTGCGCCCAACGGACAACGTCTAGCGACAGTGCCGCCCAACGGACAATGCTCAACGCCTAGCAGACAACGCCCAATACCTAAGCCTAGCGGACAACATCCAGCTTCTGCACCCAACTGACAGTGCCCAGTTGTAGAGCCCCTCAGCGTCCGTGTCTAGAGGCACCCAGTGCACCTCTGCATCCGTGCTCAGCAACGCCCAGCGCACTTCGACGTCCGTGTCTAGTGGCGCTCGTGTTTCAACACCAGTGTTGCTCTCATACAAGCACCCTAAATCTCTAGCTTAGCATCTCTCTCAAGAGTTGCCACAAACTCGGTCTAACTCTGTCTCTACTCTCAAGCAAGCAGCCTATAACTCCAGTTTAGCGTCTTTCTCACGAGTCGCCAGAAAACTTGGACTAACTCTGTCTCTGCTCTCAAGCAGGCAGTCATATCTCTAGCTTAGCGTCTCTCTCACAAGTTGCCAGAAAGCTTGGCCTAAATCTGCCTTTGCTCTCACGCAAGCAACCTATGTCTCAAGCTTAACGTCTTTCTTACTAGTCGCCAGAAAGCTTGACCTTATTCTGCCTCTGCTTTTACGCATACAACCTATGTCTCCAGCTTAGTATTTGTCTCATAAGTTGCAAGAAAGCTTGGCTTTATTCTGTCTCTACTCTCACCCCTTCTAGGATGAGGGAAAATCACCATCCTAGTGACGTAGAGAACCTTCGTCGTTGATCCATCAACTACGGGATCACCTGTGGCAGAGAGAATTTTTATAAACGAAAGACATCATCAGTTTGTCTGGGTCCTCCATGGTGTCGCCCGTGACACCGCCCAGCCTTGTGCCTTCCCTGGTATTGCCTAGGTTCATATCCATGACACCACTCACCAAAGCATCTCCATATCCATGCACCAAAGAGTCCATGCTTTGCTTCGCCCTCTCTCCAACAATGGCATCACCAAATATAGAAATAAGCTTCAAAAATGAATTCGAGTAGAAAGTTGAAGAAGCCACCGTATGGAACAAGATATCTGTTCCACCTAAAAGAAGGAGCCCATTTATGCCTTCAACCCCCAATAACTACTAGGGCTTGGGGCATGGGGGGCAAATGATGATCCCAGATTTTACTAAGTCAGGCCTAATTAATTAAGTAAACCCAAATTAGTTACATGGCAGGCCAAGCCCAACTCATGGATTTAGCCCAGTCTAAAGTCCAAAGAATCCAAGAAGATTAGAGCACGTGGAGAACAATCATCGGGCTACCCACTGTAAAAGATCAAGGCAACCTTTAATTGTACTTACTTTTTATAGCTATCCGAAAAATTAAGACCTTTACTTTCACGTCACTGCCTCAACTAGAACTTTATGCCTATAAATTGTAAGCTCTTTCTACATGAGAGGCAACTCTCTACACACCCCACACATAACTTTTCTCTCTTCTAGCTATTGTATCCCTCCTGGGGCTAACCATTGTTCTTCCTCTCATTTACCTTACTTAATCAATAAAAAGCCCCCCGGCCACCGTTGCTATTTCCCAAAGTGAAGTAAGTCACCCAGACTAAACCACTTTATATCTATATGCTGACCCGATATTTACATTATTGTCATTAATTACTCTATAATTGTCCATTAATTACACTTTATCACACACTCGATTGTTGATCTTATATAATACCATTTTATGCATCATTACTAATCAAATTCAAAACAAAACAAAAAAGATACAAATGAACCTCAAACCCATAGAAAATGATTGCCAGCCAATTTAACTCAAAAAAATATCCCAACGTAACTCAAGCCCAACTAGACCCAAAATGATGACCACTTGGTTAAATCTAGCTGCCTGCCAATCACCTACTCGGTTGAATTAGATTGATTCTAACTCCATCAATATGGTCTTCATCTACCATCTCTCTTGCGGTCCAATGGCATTACTGAAAATCAAACTTGCCTCGAACTTCAACGCCATGGACTCGAGATTCAAAGCTATATCCACAACGTCCCACTTGAGATCAAACATGGTGATGCAGACAAGGTGCATGATGGTCCCCAACACATGATGAATAATGAATAATGCTAAAGAGCACTGCATACTGCATTTCATAGTTTTCAATACCTTCTATAGTGCATATGCACTATTAGTTTGGCATGCCAATGATATTCTAACGGCTCTAGCTTGCAAATAATGATTTTTTTGATCGTCAGCCACTATTGATTTACTCAAGCAAACATCATTTAACTCTTTGTATCGGATGGAACAATCACCCTTGAACAAGTTCATTACAATGCTTAAAGATCTTGGTATTAGAGTCTAGTTCATTTATATATTGTTCTGTTATAGTATGTTTGGTATTGCTATTTGTTGCCAACATTTGAAATTATTTCCTATTTCTTGACCCAAAAATGTTTAACCGTAAAAATTATACGATATGGCTAGTATCATTTATAATCTAGGGTAAGTGAAGAGTTTGTTGCACACTTGAAAAAGATAATGAAGAGTTTGTTATATATGATATATTGACTATATTTAGAATATTTAACCTGAGAATATATGGGGGTTATTTAGTTACAATGTTAAGCGGTGGATTATAAAATTATAACAGATTAGAACTTTCTAATATCTATATAATAAAGTAGAGCTGAGTTTGAATCCAAAAAATAAAAAGAGGTCTAGATCCCAAGAGACAAAGAGAGGTCTAGATCATTTTGAGACAAAACATAAACACATCTAACGGACAATGTAATCCAACATAAAAAACAATTCAGATCATCTCAAAATTTTTGATCAAATGATCTACAATGATTACTATATTACCAATTCCCGCCCAACTCAGGCCTCTCTCCCATGACTTTCTCTCTCACTTCTACCTCTACTCTCCCTCTCACGCCTCTCTTTCTCACTTCTACCTCTCCCTATCTCTCACGCCTCTCTCTCCCAATATATCACGCCTCTATCTCATGGAATCCATCTCAAATCTTCCCCCAATCTCAAATCTCACTCATAATACTGGCCTCACAAACAGGCTAAGACTAAGAGGGCAAGGCTTCATTCCCTGGGCAGAGGGCTTCATTTGATTCTCCAAAATTCAATTCACACTCTCTTCTACTACAAAGTGCAGATTACGATGAACGGGAGAGGCGGTTCATCCACACCAATTGCAAAAGACAGACATCCGACCATTCTTTTTAATGAGGTTCGTTATCTAAATTATATTTGTGTATGTATAGTTGTATACCGTTCTCTTTCGTTGATATGCCCATTGTCTCCAGGATGAAGAAGCAAATATAGAGGAGCAGGATTATTGTGGGTGGAAGATCTGTTGTTCCTGAGAGCCTGTGAGTTCGTTTCTTTATTTCTATCCCCCTTTTGTTTGAGATTTTCGTATATCCATATGTATATGCAGGAATAACCTCTGTTTTGTATAAATGGGTTGCGAATTTGTGATTGCCTTTGTGTTTGAAAATTCGCATTTTGGTTAGGAATTAGTGAATGAGGTTAGATCTTCCATGGGCAGGCAGTGTTGTGAGTTCCACAAAATCTTCCAATTGTTGAACTCTTAGATTCGTCAATTTTTCAGCACATTGATTTCCTTCACGAAGTGTATGTTGAATTTCAATTTGTCTGCTCTTCATCAATTCTTTGCATTTGTGGATGAGGACTTTGTGAGGCAAGTGGTCCTCTGCTTGATTCAACAGAAGACAGTAGGCGTCTTCTAAGTTCGTTTCAACAATAGCTTTAAAATTTGTAAAATTTAGAGTCCAAATCGATTTTGAGTGATGTTGCTTATGTGAATTGTTATAAAAAAAAGGCTGCAAATTCTAGAGTGTTGGGTTACTAATGTAAAAATATAAGGCGCACTAATTCTTTGCGCTCGCTCTTCTGAAATGGGTAGTGGGTGCCTTTTGATGATTTTGTGTCAAAAGGCCATTATTCACACAGTCCCTGTTATCGGAGGCAGTCCAAGGGATGTCTTGGTGGTTCACACTGAAACTTTGGTAATTTTCTCAAAGTGGTGGTCCTCATATTCAAATGCACCATCTCTATTACCCTATGTCCCACCCTTGATGTATTGGTTCACACACACCCACACACATATTCACACTCAACCACCTCACTCAAAATCCTTGGACTCTCTCTTACCCTTCTTGCACATAACCTGTTTAATGAAATGCAAGTGATTAGTTGCTACACCATTGAGTAGTGGAATGATAAAAATGTGGATTTAATTGCTACACCATTGATCTGTTACTATTGCTTTAATTTTGTACAAATATATTTTGATTTAATGGTTACTGATTGAAACTCTAGAAGTATATCGAACCATCACTGCCACCACCAACTCCAACGACACACTCCAACCCATCAACATATTTAGTTTTCCACCTCATGGTAGTTTCCTCCTTTTCCTCTTTGATACAAAGAGAAGAGGGATGGAAATGAAGTGAAGGAATAAGATCTAATTGTTTGCTATACTTTATTGTTCGTATATTTGTAGATTTATGAAGTCAATAACCAATTCTATATATGATGCAGATTTTCCAGAAAGCAATATCAACTTCAAATGCATACAATGAACAATTCGGGTATTGATGATATTTACTTGGTTGGTAAGGATTTTTACCCTTATGTGATCACAATAGTGAGCTGCGTGATTAGTGATTCCCTACAGAATAGAGGTATACTATAAGTGTAAAGATGGATTCAAATCTTGCTTACAGCTTGAAAATTTGTGTTTCCTTTGGCGTTGAAGTGCCAAATCGATTCAAGGTGAGCCTCCCCCTTCTTCTCTTGTTTTCTCTTACGATCTATAGGAATTTTTTGTCTCTGTTTTTTGTGGGTCTGTTTACTTCACTTTAATTTCTTTTAATTGTGTGCTTATGCTCATTCGCATTACATTTGTCATTGAGTTTTGTTGCAAGTTTTAGTGCAATGGTTCATGGGTTTTACTGCAATGGTTTAACTAAATGCAGAGTCTTGGGGGTTCATTTCAAAGATTTGAGGTGAGTCTCTCTCTCTCTCTCACTCATGATCACCGGGATTTTTTTTTTGTATCTTTTTTTATATTGTGAGTTTTATGCACTTGATTTGTTTGAAGTTTGTTTTCATGCTCTCAGTTCAAAAAAAAAATGTTTTCATGCTCATCAGCATTGCATAATAATTAGAATTCCCATTAGCTTTGTACTTTCTTTATTCATTGGGGTTTGCTAGGGAATTGCTTGCTTTATTTATTGATTGTTTTAATTTGATTTGGTATCAATTAATTGGTTAAAGTAGAGTAGTGCGGGTTTGCTTGGATTTGTTGAAATGATTCAAGCAAATTTTATAATATCCTTGGAGGTATGTGAGTTTGCTTGGATTAGTTGTTGTGATTCAAGCATATTGTATGCCCTTTCTGGAAGTAGCATTACTGTTGTTGGTATGTGGTAAAACAACCTTCTAAGTGGTCACCTGTGGTGAAATAGGATGACTATTCCTACATATCCATTTCAGTTTGTTGTTTGAGTTTTGAGTTCCAAAACAAATGTCATAGTTTATGAAACAAGCTATGGAAATATGTCAGCAGTTGGAATTCGAATTTCAAAAGCCGAGGCAGAGGAATTTTGATATGGAAATAAAGGAACCACCTGATCATGAACTGAGAGACAAAATTAAGTTAGGGTTGGAAAGCCAACCGAAGAAACCCAAAAGCAAAATGGAATCAACAATGAATCAAATTGAGGGCGGAGCGAAGGTTCGAGAAGATGCCTGAGGATCTGGAAATGCTTTGATGCAAAGAAGACGACCTTGAAGTGATTTTTCAGTTGTAGATGTTTTGTTTTGCTTGATATAGGAGAGAACCATGGAGTGAATTGGTTAGAATACATTACTATATTGATCTCTTAATTGCTTTGACAATTGTTTTGGATAGTTGTTCTTTGATTATAGATCTGTTAGTTACTATCTGCATATCTTAGTGTAGATATATAGAGTGAAAGATTACATTGTTAGTAGACAGACCAAGCATCTCTTATTTCCTTATCTATACAATTGTGGGCTTGATTTTCTCTTCAAAGTAAATGGAAGCACATTTTGCAAAAGAGAGACTAAAATCCAATAGTTGTTTTTATTGGATTCAAATTATGTAAAGTTGTTTTTTATTTTTATTGTAATTTCGCATGGTGCTTTCAGTCTACAATCGAGTTATCTCACATAAGATTCCGATATAAAATATTAGGCAAAAATCATAATTGGGAATGTATGACTATGAATTTTGTGGCTTTGAAAATGTTATGATTATTGCGGTTGGTTTATTATATGTTTTTTTGATTTAATTATGCACTAAGTAAGAAAATTGGGTGTCACTATTTTGAGGAATAGTTAACGGCTGGGTCATCTAAATTCAAGGAAGAACCAAAGATTAGGTTGGGAAGGATGGACATTTATTTGCGGTTTTTTGTTTGTTCTATAGTGTCTTTAAGCACGGGCAATTACTAGTCTATATAATAAAGTAGAGCTAAGTTTGAATCTAAAAATTTATCTTAAGCTTTTCGCGGCTAAGATCAATTCTAAGTAAAAGATAAGTTATATTCAAAGGTCTATCTTACTTCTAATTTTTTGTTGATCAAATCAACTCAAAAATATTGATTATATGAATTCGATTGATAGACGAATTTTGTTTTCCCGCTCAAGACACCTTCCATTTTTAATTACCTCAAATTAATGCTCTTTCGTTTTCACATTCCATTCACGGCTCCTTGACTTTCATATTCACCCCTTAATTCAGAGGAAAAATCTCCCACCAAATCGTACATATATCTTCCCAAACTTATACATACCTTAATTCACTCACTCTTTCTATGGTAACTAATTTATTTTCTTTAGTATTGAGATATTTGTCTTTTGGATTATACAGTGACGATTTTTAAATTCATTACTGATGAACTAGAGTGAGACATTTGATTTTAGCATTTCATGAAAACTATTTTTTCCATCAATGATTTCATTGAGTGAGTGAATGATTTTTTTTTGTGTGTTATGTA